AGAAGAAGAAGAAGAAGAAGAAGAAGAAGAAGAAGAAGAAGAAGAAGAAGAAGAAGAAGAAGCAGAAGAAGAAGAAGAAGAAGAAGAAGAAGAAGAAGGGAACTGAAAACAGGAAGGATGGCCTGTTCATTCATTCTCTGTCTTTCTCTCACAGGGGACCAGCCGTTAACTGGAGCCTACACAGTGACCCTGGATGGACGGGGGCCCTCGAGGGTCATATCCAAACATGACCTGGGCCACTTCATGCTACGCTGCCTTGCCACCAATGAGTACGATGGACACAACACCTACCCCTCCCACCAGTATGAGTAGGACCCTGGCCTGGTTGGGAGGATGGCATCCTGAGAAGGGACACACAGAGGGATCAATAAATTTTTAGCCAAAAGCTTCAAATTTTTAAAACCCAACCCAGATTTTCTTCTCTGTCTGTGAATTTTTGTCAGGGTCTTACACATGCTGGGTAAAGTCTCTGCCACTGAGCTACATTTTCAGTCCCCTTACTGGCAGATTTTAGACAGGGGCCTTACTGCTGCGCCATGCCCCAGACTTTAATTTTTTGGTTTTTTGTTTGTTTGGTTGGTTGGTTTGGTTTTTTGAGATAGGGTTTCTTTAGAGCCTTTCCTGGAACTCACTCTGTAGCCCAGGCTGGCCTTGAACTCACAGAGATCCACCTGGCTCTGCCTCCCGAATGCTGGTGGGATAAAGGTGTGCAACACCACCACCACCACCACCACCACCACCACCACCACCACCACCACCACCTAGCGACTTTAATTTTCTTTTAAAGTACATTTATTTAAGAGTGGGAGTGGCATGATATGGTGCCTATGTGGAGGTCAGAAGACAATTTGCTGGATTCACTCCTGGGAATTGTACTCAGGTCAACAGTATTACCAGCAAGCACCTTTAATTCCTGTGCCCTCTTGGCAATCCTGGTTTTTTTCTTTTTTTGTTTTGTTTTGTTTTATTTTTTAAACTTAGAGATAAGGGCTTGCTAATTTGCCCAGGCTGGCTTTGAACTGTCCATCTGCTGCTTCAGCCTTCTGAGTAGCTAGTATTGCAAGCCTATCCCACCACACTGTGAAAATGTCAGTGTTTCTCTGTGTTTGATATTCTGAATATTTCTTCATTCATTTATTTAGTAAGAGGTTTTTGTATTTTGTTTTTGTTCTTTTTAGTTCGTCTATGCCAAGCCCTGTGTTGGGGTCCCACTGGTGACCAAGTTAGTCCATGCCCCAGCTTTTCTCGCTCTCACAAAGCAGCAGGTGTGGCAGCTCTGCCCCTGCTGTGACAACCCACGTAGGCCAGAGTTTTAGAAGCTCAGAGGCCTGGGTGGGCCCTGAGAGGTAGCCTGACACAGCCTGAGCAAGAAGGGCTGAGTGCAGGGGTTCTCAACCTATGTGTCACAACCATTCGAAACTGAGACACCAAGCGCTCAATAATAAAATGGCAGTCAGGAAGCAACACTAAAAATAGATTTATGGTTGCAGGGGCATCACCACACATGGAGGAACTTGTATTAAAGGGTCGCCGCATTGGGATAGTTGGGAACCATTGTCTTAGTGCAAGACAGATATATATCCAACCGGAAGCCTGGATTAGTAAAAATGTGCCCAGAGAAGGTTCTAGAGTAGGGCAGTATTCCTGGCCAAGGCAATGCAAGACATGCTTTGGCATGTGGTTCCTTTGACAAACTAAACTTTGTTCCTTGCACTTAGTGATAATGTTACATGCCAGGCATGTGATCCCAGCACTTGGAAGAGGGAGGCAGGAAGATTATCAGTTCTAGATCAGGCTTATAATAACAGTAAAATAACAACAGTAACACTAATATTAATAATTCTCTTCCTCCTCCCATCTCTGTGCTCCTGAGTCCCACACAATCAATGCCAGGAAGATGGCCCATAGATTCAAACCCAGGAGGTCTGGTCTGAGCAGCCACGAACCTAGACAGAGCTGATGAAGCTACATCTGTTCTCAGTGAAAACGTCTGTTGTGGGCCTAGAGTTTGACCTCTGCATGCTTTCAGAACAGGGACGTGGGGTTCTGTTGTCCGTTTGTTTTAAACAGCATTTGATGTGTGTGCCTGTACTCAACTGCATATGCACACTGCAGTCAAAGGTCACCTTGTAGGAGTCGCTTCTCTACTTCTGTCACGTGGGTCCCAGGGATTGAACTCGGGTTGTCAGGTTTAGTGACAAGTACCCTTACCCCCTGAGCCATCTTGCTGGCCCACAACAGTGGTTTGGTTTCTGCCATCTCAATCTCTCTTTCTGTACATTGCCTGAGCATTTAACAGGTTTTCACTGCATACTTGCTCTGTACTCAGCACTTGGGATAGTACAGACCAAGTAGCAATAACCTTGGAACTTGTCCTCAGGGGCCCCAGTCCAGGTGGGGGAAGGCAGAGGGTCAAGGTTAGGTAGGGAGGTACAGGAGACAACTGACTGTAACTCCAATTAGAAGGGCATCTAACATCTGGCCTCTTCGAGCACTGCACGCCTGTGGTACACAGACATACATGCAAGCAAAACTCTACACACACAATTAAAATAAATAAATATAAGAAAATTAAATAACGATAACAACAAAAACGATCCAGGCTGGGCTGGGCAGTGGTGGCACACACCTTTGATCCCAGCACACCGGAGGCAGAGCCAGGCGGATCCCTGTGAGTTCACGGTGAGCCTGGTCTACAGATCGAGTTCCAGGACAGGCTCCAAAGCTACAGAGAGAAACCCTGTCTCAAAAAAAAAAAAAAAAAAAAGAGCCAGGTTGAGTATGGGTATGGCATGGAACAACTGTAAACCCAGCAGTTGAGAGGTAGATGAAGGAGGACCAAGGTCATCTATGCAGACAGAGTTCTAGGGCTGTAGAGGTAATGCAGTGTGTAAAGGTGCTTACTACTAAGCCTGATGACCTGAGTTGAATCCTTGGCTCCCACATGGTAGGACATCCTCAAATTGTTCTCTGACTTCAACATGCATGTCATGGTACACATAAACTCAAAATAAATAAAGTAATATTTTAAAAATAACTAGGAAGTTCCTGGGCTACATGAGAGACACGGACTCAAAAGCAAAATGGTTTCATGGCTAAGAGCCCCTGTTGCGCTTGCAGAGGACCCAGGTTTGGTTCCCAGAACCCACATGTAGCTCACAACTGTCAGTAACTCTAACCTCATCTCTGTGAGTTCGAGGCCAGCCTGGTCTACAGAGCAAGTTCCAGGAAAGGCGCAAAGCTACACAGAGAAACCCTGTTTTTGGGTTTTTCAAAAAACCAAAAAAAAAAAAAAAAGGCAAAACTGGGGGCTGGAGAGATGGCTCAGCAGTTAAGAGCACTGGCTGCTCTTCCAGAGGACCCAGGTTCAATTCCCAGCATCCACATGGCAACTCAACCGTGTGTGTAACTCCAGTTCCAGGGCTTTTGACACCTTCACACAGACATACATGCAGGCAAAACACCAAAGCACCTAAAATATAAATAAATAAAGCAAAACAAGCTGGACAGCGGGAGTGGCGCACATCTTTAATCCCAGCACTTGGGAGGCAGAGGCAGGTAGATCTCTGAGTTTGAGGCTGAGGCCAGCCGGCTCTACAGAGCAAGTTTCAGAACAGCCAGGACTGTTACACAGAGAAACCCTGTCTAGAAAAAAAAAAAAAAAAGCAAAACCAAGATTCAGAGTCTTGCAGGCTCGCTGCTGAGAGTTTGCTACGGACTTGCCTTGCTTTGGACTCTTGAGATAAGGTAAGGAAAAAAAAACCTCCCATGTTATTTCTCAGAAGGTATTGGAGCCATTTTAGAAACACTGATAGCAAGCCAGACAAGATGGTGAATGCCTAAATCCTAGAAGACTGAAGCAGGAGGGTACAGAATCCAGGGCAGTCTAGGCTACATAGCAAAAGCCTGACTCAGAAAATAAACAAAAATGGCTGGGGATGACGTTCAGCAGTAGAGTGCTTTGACGAGCAGTAGCTAGGCTCTGTGTTCCCTCCCCAACACCACGAAAACGAAACAAAAGAGGGACTTTTCTGGCCCTGAGGGGCACACCTGTAACTCCAGGACCGAGGAGATGGAAGCAGGAGAATTATTGTGTAGCCAGCATTGTCTACACACGAGTCCAGCTGGGACTACACAAGACTGTCTCAAAACAACAAAACGAAATCTGAAAGTGAATCCCAGAGAACAGGAAGAAGGGCAACAGAGGCCAGACAGTGAAGGGCAAGCCAACCCTTCCCTCTGAGACCATGTCACAAAACAAATACAAATTTAAAAATCTTATGGGTAAATGGCTCAGTCCTATGGTGCTTGTCCAGAGTATTCCAGTATTCAATCCCCAAACCCAAAAAGTTTGAGTTTGTTCCCAGAGCTGCGAGGAGCGATGAAGAGTGAGCAGAAGGAGGCAGACAAATCTGAGAAAGGATGGAGCAGCCTGGGGTCCAGGTTTCACCAAACAAGCAGCAGACCCCTCAAGATTAAGCACGGGCTCCGCCTACAAAACGGGTTGGGGGTGGGGAGGCAAAGCGACTTCAGCTAAGGGGAGGGGCTGCGGTCGTCCAGGTAACGCAAGCCGCATCACGCTATTGGCTGATACTTAGTGCGTCATTCCCTCTCCCCGCCCCCCCGCTTAGGCCAAGCTTTCAGAACTCCGGGGGCGTGGCCTCCGCCCGCTGCCCAGCCTGCGAAACCGCAAGGGAGGGGAGAGTGGTGTCACCGGGCTTCGCTCCGCGGTGGGGTCTGGGCCTGGTGTAAGGGGCCTGCAGAGAGACAGGAGCAAGAAACACAGCTGGGTCCAAAGAAGCCGTTCTGACGGCATTGCCACCCTCCGCCCTGGAGATCCCTCCCCGCCCCCTAACCAGTCGCCAACCTAAACGGGACCGGCCCAGTAGGGGACGGAGCCTAGCGTCCGTGGCTCCTCCTAGCCAATGGCGCCCCACGGCGGGCAGGATTCCAACCAATCGTGGCTCGCGACTGGCCTCCGGGGAGGAGCCGAGTGGCCCCCCGGCTAGACCCAGAGGCCCGGGGAAAGTGAGCCGGACTCCTGCCCAGCACTGGCGGCACGCAGCGCTGCAGGCTTGCCGGAGGGAGTCGTGGCGACCGTGGCAGCCGAGGTGAGGAGTGGCCGCCTGTGTGGGTTTTTTTCCTGAAGTTGGAGGAGGACGGGGCGCGCCCCCGAGAGAGGCGGAAGCGGGGTCTGGACCCGAGTGGAGGGCGCAGATTGGTGTGACTGATGGGCTTCGGAGGGTGGAAGGCTAGAAACTGAATTCCAGCATCAGCACCGGAGGGGAGGCAGGGTTATTCAGGAGGAGTTCGAGTCTGGAGAACCGAGGGAAACGGAGAAGGAAGTTTTGGGGCACGAATCTGGAAGAATAAGACAGTTTGGGTCTCCCCGAATGGGCTGAGTTCGGAGTTCCACGGGTTTCTGGGCAAAGTGTGAGAGTTTTGAGGCTAGGATATGAAGCATTTAGAGGAACCCGGGAACTACAAGCACCCAGTCTTGGATTCCGAGACGCCGTCCTGAGAAGGGAATGCCGGGGGGAGTTCAGTGTCGGGGTCCCAGAGCCGGGTGGGGAGTTCGGAAAGTAAAGCTAGAGTCATTTGAAAGTCGAGCCGAATAGGGCAGATTTGGGACGAGGTCTCAGAATTGAGATCCATAGTCTTCCTCAGCCGGACTATGTACCCGAGAGTTATTTATCGTTTTTGAACGATGTGATGAGATGTGGTTCTCTGCAGTTTAGGGAAGAATCCAGAACTTCCTGGGTTGATTGGGACCCGGAGAAAGCAGTTTTCGGGCTGAAGTCGGGTGGGGGAGGGGCGCTCGGGGCGTGGAGCTCAGATTCGCCGCCCCGAAGGCAGCAGAAGGCGGGGCTCGGCCGGCGCTGGGCTGCTGGGCGTCCAGGTTCCCTTCCCCCACCAGCCAGGGCTCCAGTGAGCATGCTCTCAGGCGGGCCGAGTGTGTCCAGTCCCTCGGGCGTGCAGGGCCTTCTGGGGATTGTAGTTCGAAAGCGACAGCAGCGGCTCTGGGTCCACAGTTCCCAGAAGGCCCTGAGGACATATTGGGGTGTTTTTGGATCTGACCTGGAGATCCAGGGAAGGGCGGTGCCTATGAGAAACGGTGGTATGGTTGGACTGGTCGCTAGAGGGCACAGCTTGGTGTTGGTTCAGTTCTATCCAACTTTAAGTTGGAGTTGTGGAAAGGTTCCCTCTTGTGAGCACTCCTGGTCATGGTGTAGGAAGCTGGTATAGACAGAAATACCCTTGTAAAAAGAAGAATAACGCCGGGCGGTGGTGGCGCACGCCTTTAATGCCAGCACTCGGGAGGCAGAGCCAGGCAGATCTCTGTGAGTTCGAGGCCAGCCTGGGTTACCAAGTGAGTTCCAGGAAAGGCGCAAGGCTACACAGAGAAACCCTGTCTCGAAAAAAAAACCAAAAAAAAAAAAAAAAAAAAAGAAGAAGAAGAAGAATGCCGGGCGGTGGTGGCGCACTCGGGAGGCAGAGCCAGGCAGATTTCTGTGAGTTCGAGGCCAGCCTGGTCTACAGAGCAAGCTCCAGGACAGACACCAAAGCTACATAGGGAAACCCTGTCTCAAAAAACAAAAAACAAAAAAGAATATCACACACACACTTCTTAGCCGGGCGTGGTGTCGCTCACCTTTAGGCCCAGCATTTGGGAGAGAGTCAGTAGGATATGAGTTCGAAGCCACCCTGATCTACAGAGGGAGTTCCAGGGCTACACAGAGAAACCCTGTCTGAAAAGAGCCAAAACCCCCTAAGGGCCAGAGATATGACATCATGACTTGCCAAGATCACAGTTCATATGCAGAGTTCAAATGGGTTTTTGGTCCATTGCTCTGTACTCCACACCTGTCTGGCTTATGACTTGTTCGAAAATAATAATAGTAATAAAGTATTGTGAGAAAGCCAGGCGGTGGTGGTGGTGGTGGTGGTGGTGGTGGTGGTGGTGGTGGTGGTGGTGCACGCCTTTAATGCCAGCACTCGGGAGGCAGAGGCAGGAAGATCTCTGTGAGTTCGAGGCCAGCCTGGGCTACCAAGTGAGTTCCAGGATAGGTTCCAAAGCTACACAGAGAAACCCTGTCTCGAAAAACCAAAAAAAAAAAAAAAAAAAAAAAAAGGAACGCTTCACGAATTTGCGTGTCATCCTTGCACAGGGGCCATGCTAATCTTCTCTGTATCATTCCAATTTTAGTATATGTGCTGCCAAAGCGTGAGCACTCTCTTTCATTTTTAAGGTGCATTGGTGTTTTGCCTGCATGCATGTCTGTGTGATGGTGTCAGATCTTGGAGTTACAGGCAGTTTTGAGCCGCCATGTGGGTACTGGGAATTGAATCCCAGTACTCTGGAAGAGCAGTCAGTGCTTGTAACCACTGAGCCATCTCTCCAGCCCCGGATCTTATTCTCTTAATCATATCGCATGCATTTATTCACCCATTCTTAGCCTTGTAGGAGTCTGACTATATGCACTTTAAGTAGAGGTTCTGATAAAACAAACAAACCAAAAAGCCCTCCCATAACTAAACAGGCTTGCTTGAAAAAGTGGAATCCAAAGGTATCTGACTTACCGAGCAGTGGTGTCTTTTAATCCCAGCACTGGGCGGACTGGGTGGATCTCTGAATTTAAGGCTAGCCTGGTCTACAAAGCTACAGAGAGAAACCCTGTTTCAAACAACAAACAAGCAAACCGAAAAAGCAAAGGTATCTGATGTGACTCTTTTCTACAGGACATGGGAGGCTTAAAGAGGAAACATTCTGATGTGGAAGAGGAGGAGGAAGATGAGAAGTGGGACTGGAGTCCAGCTGGTCTTCGGAGCTACCAGCAAGCCCTGCTCCGAATCTCTCTGGACAAAGTCCAGCGCAGCCTGGGCCCCAGAGCACCCAGCCTCCGCCGGCATGTCCTTATCCACAACACACTCCAGCAGCTCCAGGCTGCCATTCGCCTAGCTCCAGCACCAGCCCTGCCCCCGGAGCCTCTCTTCCTGGGTGAAGAAGATTTCTCTCTGTCTACCACTATTGGCTCTATCCTCAGGGAGCTGGATACATCCATCGGTGAGATAGACTCGCCTCCGAATCCAGTGGCTTCCCCGAGTCTTCAGAATGAAATGATGCCTCAGGCTGATCCTGTGTTTTTAGAAGCTCTGAGCTCCCGGTACCTGGGAGACTCTGGCCTGGATGACTTCTTTCTGGACATTGACACATCTGCAGTGGAAAAGGACTCTGCACTTCCACCCCCGGAGCCTCCCCGAAGCCTCTTCTGTGCCCCAGGATCCTGGGAGTGGAATGAATTGGATCACATCATGGAAATCATCTTGGGATCCTAAGACTGATGGAGGTCCTTCCTGGCATCAGCCTCTGTGGGCTGGGTCCTTGGATGTGACTCTTGTATGTGTGTTTAACAGAGGCTCTAAACAGTGACTGTGGCCTCCTTTCCTCCTATGTCAGGATTCCACAAACTGCCCTGCATGTGTGCGTGTCTGGTTACCCCAGCCTTCCGTGAAGGTGCGTCTGTCTTCCTGAATTAATTTATCTCTTCCAAATGCCTTAACGAGACTCTGTTTCAGGGAGTCTGATTTCTCACTTACACACTTTTTCTGCCTCCAGTTCCCACTGCCCTTGTGACCCCTAGGGCCTCAGGGAACATAAAACTGGACCTGTCAAACGGGGATGGGTGGGCTGCCTCTCCAGGGAGTGGGAGGGGCTGGTCTCCTCCTGGCAGGCTGAACCCCGCTTCCTTGGCAGGACCCCAGTCCCAGAAGCCTCCTGATTCATAACCAGGCCGGACCATGTGCAATAGGGATGGAAAGCTACCAGTTCCATGCTATGCTATTTAAAAGAAAAAGAAGGCAGGGTTTGTAGTGGCTGTTTTTTATTATTATTTTTTTTTGAGTGTTTCTTTTTTGTAATAAAAGTATTTTGGAAAGATTTGAATTGTCTTAAATTTGTAAACTTACCTGGGGTGATGGGAAGAGCCTGTTAAGTTCCCTGGACACTTAACATCCTTTCCTTAACAAAGGTAGGTCAAGTGTAACACTGTATAAAACAGTTACTGGCTTGCTTAAGGGTATTGTCAGAACTGCTTTATGCAAACTGAATCCTTTAATCCTCAGGATTAGAAAGAAACAGATACTGTGTCACATTTTACATTTGCATAGGAAAAACTTCAAGTTTAGGGGCCTGGAGTGTAGCTGAATGATTGAACTCCTGCTTTGTGTATGTATGTATGTGTGTGGCCCTGGGCTTGACCCCTGTCCCTTTGCAAAAGAGACAGTTTGTTTGAAGCCGTCTCACTGTGTAGTCCAGGCTTTCCTTCACCACGATCCAGCTGCCTCTGCCTCCCAGGGGCTCAGCTTAAAGATGTGCATAGACACCTTGCTAAAATAGCATTTTGAAGCCTGAAGTTTAGAGGTGTAGAGAAAAGGGCCTACAGGGGTAAGACTCAAATTTTGCTAGGCTCTGGAGCTATGTTTTCTGTTTGAGTGCTAGCTAGGGAGCCAGCCTAGGACATGGCGGGCAAGCACATTAAGCACATTACTGTTGAGCCATCCCCTGCCAACCGAGTTTTAGGCAAGTACCCTTCAGGTGAGCCATCCTCTCTGGTAGAGCCTAAGCAGGTTTGCGGCTGCTGGATTGCAGCCTCCCTGAGAGCCCTGTTTACCTCGGTGTTTATAATCCTTCCAGTGGACTGAAACTCATCATACGGGTGTGGGTGTGCATGTGGAGGAGCGTGTGTCACAGGCTAGGGCCTCACAACTGAAAAATCAACCTTTTGTTATGGAATGTGCTGCTGAGGCCCTACAGGGAAACAGGATGCCAAAGAGAGCCCACCACCCCCCACCACCACCACCCACTCCCCAACACAGATCTCTAGGATGCTATTCTTTTTTTTGTTGTTTTTTTTTGTTTGTTTGTTTGTTTTTCGAGACAGGGTTTCTCTGTGTAGCTTTGCGCCTTTCCTGGAACTCACTTGGTAGCCCAGGCTGGCCTCGAACTCACAGAGATCCGCCTGGCTCTGCCTCCCAAGTGCTGGGATTAAAGGCGTGCGCCACCACCGCCCGGCTTTAGGATGCTATTCTTGAAAGCCACAAGTTTGGGTTCAGGAATTCACTTCTGGTTTGAGAGATGAAAACCAGGAGAGTGAGGGTAGAGAAGCGGCAGGCCAGGAAGCAGTGTCCCATGTCACTACCCTGCCCATGCCCGAGTGAGCATGCCCTGCATTAGGGACTTTTCTGGAAGGGTTGCATGGCAAAGATGGGGATTTTTCTTTGTGGTTTCTTGGCTTTCCAACAGATACCTCATTTGGGTGAGGTGGGGGCGGGGCCTTGTAGCTAAGAAAGTGAACACGTTATCTGAAAATAGGGCCAATCCGAAAAGGGATGAGGAGACTGTGGGGAAGTGTCTCCAAAAAGTTCATATCCCAAGATGGCTGCCATGCTAGGTGTGATGGTGTCCACCTTTAACTCCAACACCTGAGTGTCAGAAGTGGGAAGATCAGCAACATATGAAATTTAATGAAAGCCTGGGCTACATTTGAACCTATCTTTTTTTGTTGTTGTTGTTGTTTTGAGACAGGGTTTCTCAGTGTAGCTTTGCACCTTTCCTGGAACTCACTCTGTAGCCCAGGCTGGCCTCAAACTCACAGAGATCTTCCTGGCTCTGCCTCCCGAGTGCTAGGATTAAAGGCGTGCGCCACCACCGCCCAGCTGAACCTATCTTTAAAAATAAGAGTCAGCCAGGCATGGTGGCCCATGCCTTTAATCCTAACACTTGGAAGACAGAGCAGGTAGGTCTCTCAGTTCAAATCCAGCCAGTGCTGAGACAAGACTCTAGAGACCTGTCATAAAAATAACAATAAAAGTAGAAGAGGGTGCTGGGAAATGGTTTTGTGGGTAAAGTGCTTGTCAAGTAGGATTGAGGACCTAAGTTGGGACTCCCAGAACCCACATAAAGGTCTTATGGGATTGCTAGGTGTTAATAGGGTATGCCTTTAATCCTAGCAGTCGGGAGGCAGATGCAGATGAATTTCTGAGTTCGAGGTCAGCCTAGTCTACAGAGCGAGTTCCAGGACAGCCAGGGCTACCCAGAGAAACCCTGTCTCGAAAACCAAAAACAAACAAAACAAAACAAAAAGATTGTATGCAGTACCACAAATGTGGGGTTCAGGCCAATCCCCCAAGAATGTTGGCCAGCTAGCCTGCCATATGTGCTGGTGAACAAGAGACTCTATCTCTGAGTGGAAGGTGGCAACTACCTCAGGTTGTCCTCAAACAGAAACAAAAAGAATGCTAATTAAATCACATCTTTCTCTTCCTTGAAACTTCCACCAGCTTCTACTCCCACTGGGAATAAAAGTGAGCAAGTGAGCATCTGGGGGCTGGAGAGATGGCTCAGCGGTTAAGAGCACTGGCTGCTCTTCCAGAGGTCCTGAGTTCAATTCCCAGCACCCACATGGTGGCTCACAACCATTAATGAGATCTGGCACCCTCTTTTTGTATAAATAATAAATAAATAAATCTCTTAAAAAAAAAAAAAAAGGTGAGGGTCCTCTAGAAGAGCAGTCCTGTTCTTAAGTTCTTAACCACAGCCCCTGTATGATGTGTGACTTTCTTTCCTTTTTTTTTTTTTTTTTTTTTTTTTTTTTTGGTGAGATGGGGTCTTTCTATGTAGCCTTGGAACTTACTATGTTGGCCAAGCTGGCCTCGAACTCACAGAGATCAGTCTGCTTCTGCCTCCCAAGTGCTGGGATTAAAGGTGTGCTCCACCATGCTAAGTTGTTTGACTTTCTTAATAGCACCTGTGCAAACCCAGGTTATTTATTACCTGTTCATGGTTAGCCTCCAACTCTATCAGAAACTCTCAGAGGTGGGACTTTGCCCAGTAGTGCTCCCCCTGCCCAGTTGTTGGGCTGGGAAGATGGCTCAGTAGATAGAGCACTTGTCACAAAAGCAGAAGGCCCTGAGCTTGGATCCCCAGAATCCCAGCATTCAGAAGACAGAGGTGGGGGATCCTCAGAGCAAGCTGGCTAGCCAGATTAGAGTCAGTAAGCTCCGGGTTTAGTGAAAGGCCCTGAAGCGGAGAGTGATGGAGAAAGACATCCAGTGTTGGCTTCCGGCTGCCACATGCATGTGGACACACATGTTTATATCCACACACACATGAATATGAACGCAACAAGCACACACAAAAGAAAGATTATTAACGTGCAAAATGAACTCCAGGCCTGGCAATGGACACAACTCCCTGCCCGACTCTCTAGACATACACCCTTACTCCTGCGATCACAGCACCTCCTCGGTACCTCCAGATCTGAATGGTCGGAGCTGGGGTGAAGGTGCATGCCTTGAGTCAAGCATACAGGGGCTGAGGCAGGAAGACCATGAGTTCTAGAAAGGAAGTCATGTGATTGGGGGCGTGAGGGGCAGTAATACTGTTTAGATGAAATGACCAAAGATGGGCTCATGGACAGGGTGACATTTGGATGAAGTCCTACAGGAGGTGAGGGATAAAGTCATGCTGGAGAAACTACCCATGCAAAAGGCCCTGAAGTCAGAGCATGCGCAGAACGTTTGTCCAGCAGTGAAGCCCCTTAGTATGACTGCAGCAGCATGGAGCAAGGGGTTGATCACCAGAAGAGTTGAGACAAGGGTGAGGGCCAGCATGTAGGGTCTAATGACTGTCCAACTGGGAGGAGTTTAGCCTCTCTCCTGCAGAGAGGGAGGCCACTGGGAGAGTGTTCGGCTGAGGGGATGAGGTCTGACTCACCTTTTCCTTCGAAGTCTTTTACTTCCCTAAAGCAAGTGAGAGGAGCTGGGCGTGGAGGCACAAACCCTGTCATCCCCGCACTTGGGAGGTAGGGTAGGAGAATGACCACTTGTAGGTAAGTCTAGGTTACTGAGAGAGAACGTGTTCAGAAAGAAACAGATGAGGAGGAGGAAGAGGGAAAGAAGGATGAAGAGGAGGTGGAGGAATAACCCAGGAGCTTGACAGCAGCGACCAGCCAATCTAAGAAGTACCCCCCTCATTTCCAGGTGAACCTAGGGAGGTTCAGGGCGGCCAAGCTCCTTCCCTAATTAAGAACTGGCCCCAGAAGTGGAAAGGCTGGCCCTACAGAGGGACCAACCCGAGAGGCCAGAGTCCACCTTCCCCAACCCGCCCGCCTCAGCTGGACTTTGGTGGGGGATGGGCCCCGGAGGGCCTGGGCGTGGCGCGGTGGCTGCGTCCCACCCACCTGCCCACCCTCCGAACCGGGCTGGCCAGCGGGCAGGAGACCTGGGAGGCAGCAGCAGAGGCCGGCAGCCGGCCTGGCGCCTCCTCCCTCCCCAGGGGCCGGGTGGGGCGGCTGGCTAGGGGCGGGACGCTCCCCCGGACCATCCTTCTTTCCTCCCTCCCTTCCTCTTTCCTTCCCTCCCTCCCTCCCTCCCTCCCTCCCCAGCTGGCGAGGTTCCCCCCCCTTTCCTTGCCTGCCAGGCCTGGTGGCTTAGCCTCTGGTTTCATTTCTCAAGGCCCAGTCTCTCTCTCCCTTCCCCCAATCGTTGAATTCCTAACTCCTTCTCCACTTTCTGGTCCCTGCTCCAATGTCACCTCCTAGGGAAGGCTCCCTCGGACCGCCCTGGCTGCAGGCACCTCTCCCTGGGTCTCTCTGTCATCCCGCCGTGTTCAGTTCAAGAGGCAGAAATTCTTTTAACTTCCTTTCTTTCTCCTTTCGTCATCTTCAAGGGTCTCGTCTTATTTTGTTGAATGTGGACAAAGGTCTAAACTTCTAGCGACTTCTCTTACGTCCTCTCTGGGCGTTTCCAAGCCAGTTCAACTGGCTTACCTGCCTGACAAACAGCACCTCGGGGTCTCTGCGCTGGCTCTAGCCTGCTCTGTCAACTCTGGCTTCACCTTTCTTCCCCTCTCTCTCTGCTGTCGAGTTTCTGCCAAGT